GTGCCGTTGACGTGCAGGGGGCGTGTTGCGTCATACTTACTAGCGGTCACGGACAGAGCTGAATTTCGCCCCCCGTCCCCAAACGTCTCTTGGTGGCCCCACGTCCCGAGAAGGCCGAGTAAGGCCCTCCCTTGGCAGGCGGGATGGCCTCGGTGTGCCTGCCCGGGCATCCCCTGGGGGCTCGGGCCTGGGCTCTTCCCGTGTCCCTGGCTCCAGGGCCATCCCTGAGCTCCTCGAGCAGACGGCGCTTTAACGGCTTCTGATTTACCAGCTCATTTTAAACATCAGCCTGGCTGCAATGTAGATTGTTTCAGGCTGTTTTAAGTTTGGGCTCGATTGTTGTTCAGCCCTCTACACGCTGTTGCGTGGTAGTCACCCTCTGGTGCCACTTTTAGGAAGGGGCAGCTCTCAGAATTGCAAGGATCACCTGCAGAGAGGAATTTTATTAGAATAAATTCTAGTTGGTGTAATGTTTGTGTACGTGACAATGACTAAGTAGAGCAGACCTGGACGTTTTTCAGAAATACTATTGTCTGTTGTGTCATAAGAAACTTACTTTTATTGCAAACCTTTTTTAGATTTTTATTTTATTTTTCGCATCCACTGTAACTTGTGGTGGTCTGTTATCAAAATGTAAAATGTAGACCCTTACTTTCAGGGGTATAGAATAAAGTATTTCCTCTAGGGGCTTCCTCGGTTGGTCCTAGTGTTGTTTACTTGTGGTTCTGCTGAGGGGGGACAGGTGGGAAAATTGCCTTCTGAGTCTTGGTAGCTCACTTGTATATCACCTGTCCTCAGAGCTCCTCTGAGTTGGAATGGGAACAGGCCTGTGGGTATCCTCCGAAAAATAGCAGCCAGGTATGTGGGGAAGAGAGTCCTTGCTGCGTAGTCCTACTTCTGCTACCAATGTACATTAGATAGCCTGCCCTACCAAACCCCGTTAAATTAGAACAGTTGTGTTCTGCTGTAGCCTTCTGATGGGATCAGCAAGGGCACCATCTAGGCCTTAAGATTTAAATTGTATTTGAGAATAAATCTCAATTTAAGACAAAGCATGGCCTATTTTATAGTAGGGATTATGTGATGTGATGTGGTGGCTGCAGTGGCGGAAGATGACTTGGCTCAGCAGGTCACTTCTCATCCAGTCTTCTGAATGTATTAACTCACATACTTTGCTTAAGCTTCCCTGAATTAATTTGGAATCAAAGATCTTGCCTTTTCCATTTTAAATGCAAGAGACAGAAGGTGCTCAATTAAATGAAAAGGTGACATTTGCATAGCTGGGAAGGTTTCCTTCTAGGCAAAAAGATACAATGAGACTGTGAAACTTGTTTGGAAACTCACTGAGGCCAAAAAAGAGCCCTGGATAGTCTTGTCTGTCCTCTGTAAAACGTATGGTAAATGTCAGCAGTTTTCCAGAGACACATTAACACAGAGCGAAGTGATCTCAGCTGCGGAATTGTAGTTGGGATAGCCAGTGCTTACTCGCTTTAAACAACACTGGCCTGTAAAACATTTGTTCTGTCTTGAGTTGTGTGCTAAACTTGAAATCCTGACTCAGAGTTTCAAAAGTCATAAACTGAGATGTATTTGAGGGTGGAGGAGGGGAAGAAGTGGAGGAGGAAAGATTATTGTAAGCCTGCCTCCTGCAGACTTTCTTATCCCTCCTTGTGATCCATGGAGCAGGTGGAAAACTGCTGTTCCTGCCTGACCCCAAGCAGCGAGTGCTGTGCTCCTCCAAACAGGAGCACCTGGGCCAGTGTTGATACTGTACAGGCTGAGTGGGTTGAATTCTTCTCTTTTTATGATTTGGTGATTGAATCAAACTTCCAAATTTAATGTCCCTCTTGTAGTTACATTGGTGTCTGTTTTCCTCATGCTTGTAGGTACTTTTTCTGGTATGAACGATCTGTTCCAGGATTTCAGTTATGAAAACATTTCTCTCTTGTTCTAAGTGCCATTTAGATCAATGTAATGAGTATTTATTTTTCTTAAAAATTCTTTCTAAATAAAAGGCTTTTAAAAAATCGCCACAGAACTCTTTCAAATGTATTTTATATTGTAAAGCTGTTTTCAGCATCTTTTAGTATCTGCTGTAATAATTCCCAGATTAGGAGCTCCCAAATAACATTGGGAATTTACTAGAAATAGACTTTGTGGAAGTGGATCTACACTGAGATTCGGAGTCAAACACCTAGAAGCAAACCTGGATGTGACGTCAGCTATAAAAATGTTGGAGCTGCCAATCTGTTTGACTAACATGCAGAGCATTTACTATGGTGATTGCAAATCTGAATTATTTAGGATACTTATTGCAAAGAAACACCATTGTGCCATCCATTATTACAGTTTTGCTAACTGCTTTGGATAAAAGACCATGGGGTTTTTGGAAGACGATGAGCAGGATGGGAGCACTGTCTCCTCCCGTGCTTGTTGTCCGATGTGATTTTACCAGTAGGATCTGTCCCTGAAAGTATCATGTGTGACAGGAGCCTCACATGCAGCAACAAGAGCTTTTGGGATCTACTGCTCATTTTCCCTCGGGTTGGCGTGTCCCCCTCCGTGCCCACACTGTCCCACCACTCCCCTGACTGCTTCACTCCCAGAACCACCGGCCCCTCTCTGCTCTGACCGCCAAGAACAGCAAGGGGTGAAACAGGGGCACAGCACAACCGGGTGGTGTAGAGGGCAAAACGAATATTGCAGATACTAAAGCAGTGTGGTAGAACTGACGTCTTTTTTAATAAAAGCAAATGGGCTGTTGTTACTAACTAGTCAGAAAACATACTTTTTGAGAAGCAGTTAAGAGAAATAGCGATGGAGACTGTATCTGCTGCCGCACCTCAACTGCTTTTATAGGAAATGCTGTATTTATAATCTAGAGCTGTGACTATCCAAGACTTTTAGTTACCGATAGCGATGATGTGCAGGAGGCTGCAATCACAGCACCAAGGCAAGAGGCTCCTGCTCTTGAGGTAACCATTGGGAATAAATTCTTTTATCCTTCTTTTCATGGTTAACTCTTAAGTGAGGAAGGTAGAAGCTGCAGCAGGTGTGTTTTGAAGCACTATATTTGAGAGACCAGACTTGTTTCTTTTATGAACTAGTGACTCTGTACAGTGTTGCATGGTAAATCTTGCTGACTGTTCTTGTCTTACTAGAGCCCATCAACGACAAGCTGCCTTGGTTCACAGAGGACCAATATGTGGCTGATGTCCCCTGGCAGAGAGTAGTAGTGGGCAGAGAGGCTTGAACCAGTGGAAAGGAGACATGGGTTGAGGAGAGGACTGGAGGCACTTGGGCGGCACTGGATGTGCAAGCTGTCCAGGGTGTATTCTGAAAACTGTTTCACTGTGATGGCTTAATGTGACGATCTGAGTGGTGTAGTTCAAGACATGGTTTAGTGGGTTTAGCGGGCATGGTGGCATCGGGTATACGGTTGGACTTGATGATCTTTGAGGTCTCTTCCAACCATAATGATTCTGTGATTCATTGTGTTGGCACCTTTTGCTCAAGTGAACTCCTGGGATCATTTCCTTTTCTTTGTTTCAGCCTAAATCAGGTTTGAAGCTCTCGGTTTTCATTCTTACACTCTTTGCTTGTATTCCGTCAAGTCTGGAGCAGAAAACTGTAGCTTGTAGTTAAAGTTCATCATTATTGAAACTAACCTGATTTAAAAATAAATCCCTTGTTGCCTTTATTTTAAATTTAGTGATCTTTTAAATGTAAGTAACTTTAAGCATACACAAGTTATTTAGTGGTAATTTTTATCAAGGCTTTGGTATTGTTTTCAGGTATATGTCACAAGGAAAACATGCAGAAGCAAGAGAACTAATGTATTCAGGGGCTTTGCTGTTCTTCAGTCATAACCAGGTAAGTCACAGGTTTTGTGTGTGTGGTTTGGGAGGGGGTGGTGTTATTCCAAGATTTTGAGAGGTGAACGGTGAATTCTCAGTGGTAAATGTTTGGGATAATTGCTTTGTAATCTTTGGGTTTATCTCTTTGTTGAGCCTTTCTCCACAAAGAAGGATTATGCCAAACTGGAACATAAAGCAGAAGTGTTTGTGAGCATCCAAACAACAATCGTAACCACATTTGTTTTGCTATCCTGGAGGCTTCTCTTTTGATGCTGTCAAATTACTATAATTTTTTTATAAGGGAAGGTTGAAACTTGATACTGTGCCTCAGCTGTAGATGTTGATTAAAGTATTAAATCTGCCTCCAAAAAAATTCTACTTGATGTTTTCTTTTATGTACTGATGTGTTCATCACTACCAGTATGTGTCTGTTTTGTAGCAAAACAGTGCTGCTGATCTGTCCATGCTGGTTTTGGAGTCTTTGGAGAAATCGGATGCAAAAGTAGCAGATGACCTTTTAGGTGAGGTGGCCTTTGCACTCAGTTTGGTGGTGTTTAGATGTGCTTTTGCTTCACAGTGACTGTTAACAGACTTGAAACCTGAAATCCTTTTTGTATGCCCTCCCACTTGGCTAAGGGTTACCTTCATTGTAGAAATGGACTGGGCAAAAACTTTACTAGAGAATAATGGATTCCAAATAACTTTGTGGGCATGCTTAGAACAAACATTGCTATCTTGTGTCATTATCCTTTCCTCAGTGTGACAGTAATGTACTGTCTGTGCAGTCACTGGTGTTCCCAGGGCTTTGGTCGATGGTGGTTTCCCACCCTAGCAGTGTGGTAGTGTGCACATTATTTGTGATTCAGCTGTTCACAAGGAAATTTTTCTTGTTTGACTGCGAGATTTGTAACCACGCAATTCAGGGAGACCTCCTTAAGAGTTGTCTGGCCAGACTGCTGCTACAGCGTGGGCGAACCACTTCTATTAACAAGTTATGGATGGAGACAGACAGACAGAGGCTGTTCATTGTTTACTTAGGTCAGCTCTGACATTTGGTATCCCATCTATGACTTCTGGTGGTGCTTTTCCAAACTATAGCCCTCTGTCCCTCACAGCTTCCCAATGAAAGGCAAGCAGTCCCATAACCAGCAGTCTTTCCTCCTCCTTGGAACTGCAGGGTCCTCTGGGATGTCCTGTCCAAAACAATGAGACAGGGAAGCTGTCACCAGCTGACTGCAAGGCACAGCTTTTGGCTGTGGAGGAGTCGTATGAGTATTGCTGGCTGATAGATGCAAGATTGACTTGATGTATGAGAAGTGGCTCAAGTTCAAAGTCACTGTTTTTTAAGGTGGCTTATGGAGGCCGTTAAGGGAGCTTAAAGACACAATAGCACTGCAACTTAAATGTATCTTAAAGATGCATTAGAAGCGACAGTTCGTCCTATTTCTATTAATGCTAAATATTTGTGAATCTTATTGCTTCTAGAAAACTTGGCTAAATTGTTTAGTTTAATGGATCCAAATTCTCCTGAAAGAGTGGCTTTCGTATCCAGAGCGCTAAAATGGTCTAGTGGGGGATCAGGAAAACTTGGACATCCAAAACTACACCAGTTACTAGCAATTACTCTGTGGAAAGGTAAGAAAAATCAACTGGCTTTTCTGTGTTTTGTTTTGAAAATGTTGAAAGTATGATATTGTAAGAGATCTACTTTGGAAATAATCTAAGGAAGCTGAGATGGAAATGATTGATTTAGTTCTGTTATTACCTGATTTTTGCAATAATTTCAGCTTAATGTTACTAACAAAAAAACCTGGGACTGTATGTTAGTGCAAAATGCAAAACACAACTGCTGTAAAGCTCTCCGTACAAGGAAGGTTGATCCTTTAGACATTGAGGTAGCTTGATTGAGTCATTAGGAGGAGAATTGCTGGGGAGCAAAGCTGTTCTATTGTGGGGGGTTTTGTTGTTAAATCCTGGATGAACGTGACAAAGTTTGAAATACATCATCTAGCATCCAAAACAGTCTTTGGATCTGTAATTAGGTACTTTTGGAGACATTGACCAGCAGGCTTATTCCAGAATGGATACTGTTGCTTTTGATTTGTGTGGGATTTTGTCACTTGTGATGAGATGTAAGATAAACCAAAAATGCACTAAATAATTATTTTAATTGTGGATGTTAGCCAGTTTTTAGTCTTATGTTCAAAACATAACAAAGGTGAGTGAGAACAGTTGAATGAATGCCATCTCTTCTGTGGTTTCTTGCGAATTAATAACTGTGCAAGATGATTCTTTGTTTACTTTAAATTTTTCAGTAGCTGCAAAGCAGTGATAGTGGTTTCGTATAGCAATCCTGACCCAGTGGTCAACATTCCTACTTTCTGCATGCCATAGACAATCCCATAGCTGTTCTCATGGGACTTATGTTAGCTTGTTGGCTGCTGCCAGCTAGAAAGGGAGGATTTTCCTCAGAGCATTTAAGTTAGAAGCTGAGGTACGATTAGGATGAGAAACGGTTGCATTCTGAAAGTAAAAATCTCCATTTTGTAGCCATCTGCTCGCTGTTCTTTTGAAGAGTAAAATGCGTACATTTTCTTAATCTGTAGTTTTTGAGATTTTCATCAGAAAAGGCTCAGATTTCTAAAACAAAGCTTTTAAATTCCCAGCGTTAGCAGCTATCTAGTTTTGATTTGTCATTGGAGTGATTTTGCATGATGCTTTGCTTCAAGTTAAATTCTAACAAATCATTGCCATTTCTTACACCTTTTTTTCCTGCATAATTGCTGTTCTATTCAGCATATGGAAGCAATTTTAATTTTGATAGCAAGAGTGGGATAAGCTAAAAATAGGAAGTGCCTTCTTTCTGTGCACTTAGAAAGAAGGACGTTGAAGGCGCTGTTTGACTTCTTGGTGCACATAGTCTAATATGGAATTTCTTGATTCTTCTCCTATGTACTGATGATAGCACACGAAGTGTCAACATGCAGTTAGATAGAATGATATCCCCGTGGCTCAAGCTGTTTGTCCCAGTGGTAGCTGTGTTTTGTGGTGGCATTGAATAAACTGTATTTAATACCAGTCATTCAAATGTATTTAGGGTAATATTTATTATCTCCCTTTATAAATTGTCTGTGACTTACGAAGGAAAAAGCCTGCTCTCTTTTTGCTTGTTTATGTACCATGTGTGTATCTCTTGACCTTTTACCAGCCATAGTGTACAAGCCTAACAAATTTGTTTTTACATTCAGGTATGATGAACCGATTTCTTAAAAGCCATTTTCTTTTTCCTTTTATAGAACAAAACTATAGTGAATCTCGGTATCACTTCTTGCACTCCACAGATGGCGAAGGATGTGCAAATATGCTAGTAGAATACTCCTCGTCCAGGGGATACCGCAGTGAGGTGGACATGTTTGTAGCACAGGCAGTACTACAGTAGGTGTTAAACTTTTTTGACTTATTTTGCTGAGATGACACTGTGTTTGAGGCCAATCTAATTTAATCATGATAACTGTAGGTTAACCATGCATCCTTTTCAAAAGAAATTGTGAAACTGGCCAGAGCTGCTGAAACTCACTTTGTGTGGTAACAACAGGAGAAAACCATGTCAAAAGTGTTGTGTTGAATTGGTCAGATTGGGGAGAGAAAAAAAAAAACCAAAACAAAACAGAAAACAAACGTATTAAGGTAGAAACCTGAAATTATGTTAATTGCCTGAAGAATTAATGCCATCTGTTTGACCCCAAAAGCACAATTCTTAGCTTTGTTAATACCACTTTATGTCTAGTTAGGGCTTACCTTGATGTTCTTACCAAGACTGGACCTAAGTAGGCTCTGTATTTACCTTTAGCATAGTACTTGCGCTCAGTCTCGTTCTCCTAAGAGACAGTTTGTCTTGGGTCACCTTGGTCTGTGAGCAGCAGTGCGATGGTTCTTGGTTTGACAGAGTTGCTGGCGGCTTTCATTTACTTTAGGCATTTATTTTGTAGGAGGTGGGAATGCAAGCTATTACATGCCTTTGCGGAGCTCATGTACAATTAAGGTTGACAAAGCCAATTTTACTGTGTTTAATCAGCTGATGGCTTTCTTCAGTCAGGGAAAGCAGCTCACGGAGGAGTCTGAGGAGGAGGTGGAGACAGGACTGTGCAGCAGGGAGTCAAGGAGAGAGTAGGTGTTGGGGGAGAGGGAGGAGGTGAGAGAAGTCTGTCTCTCTTTTGGCATCAGTGAGCTGTCATGTCAGATTTGTCCTGCTTTCTGTAGCTGGTTGATATAGACTGCAGTGATTTTGAGCAGTGGAAACTCTTTTATGGAAATCCAGTACATGCAGGACTCTTAAACAATGTTATGGGGCTTTTTTCTGGAGGGAGGGAAATTCTGGAGAGAAGTTATCAGTAAGAGATTATTTTTTCAGTATTTATACAGCACTAGTGCTGCATCCTTTATTGGCTTATATCTTAAATACTGTAGTAAATCCTCTTACAGAGCAGTTTATACTCTAATTAAAATAATTTCAGTTCCTTGCTCAGCAGTAAGCCAAAAGACCCCAATGCCCTTGCACATGTGTGGGTACAGAATTGGAGGCCAGCCTGTGAACAAAAATGAGACTTCTCATGGCAGCCTTCCCAGTGCTTGCTGACAGCATTTGTCCCAGATAAAGTCTTGTTAGGCCTATGGGACTTGCAGAGATTGCTAGTTAAATTAACTGGACCTGAACAAAGATTTGAGCAGTTTGGGAAATTGATCTGGTGACAAACGGCTTGGGAGTTCAAAGTCTAGCTTTATTATGAGACTTTTAGACATGTGTGTCAAACTTACTAGTGATCCTGATGCCATGTTATTTTGAGGTAGTGCTAACAGAATGACAGAATTGTTGGACACTGGCAGATACATACTGAAAGGAGTTGTGTTTGGGAGTGGATGGGACCAGAGAGAGGTCTTTAATTTGGTTTTTGCCTCGGCATAGTAAACTCTGGGCCGGTAAATGCGATGTCATCTTTAATTTGAATTACGTGGTGACCAGTCTTTCCACATTTTGATTTAATTGATACCCTCTTTTAGTAACTGTCCTGTGTACAATCTACTTAGATCTTGGTTAAACTCATTCTATTAATATTTAATGTCAATTTTCCCTCCCAATTTGCTTATTCCACAATGTAGTTTATTAGCAATTTTTCCCTTCCTTGGTTGATTGCAAAACCATAGCCAAAGATGTACACCTCTGCCAGTTAAGAGTTTGTGCCATCAGTTTAAGCCTGAAATGGTTTCTGTGCACAAATGAAGTAGAGTTTGTTGAGCATTTGGCTTCCCTTTTTCTTTCTGCATGTAAAACTACTTCTCTGCATTTTATTTTTAACTTGCCCTGTTCTGTTTCCTTTTGCAGATTTCTCTGCTTAAAAAATAAGACCAGCGCATCAGTTGTTTTTACGACATACACACAGAAACATCCTTCAATAGAAAAGGGTCCGCCCTTTGTTCAGCCCCTGCTAAACTTCATCTGGTTTCTGTTATTGGCAGTTGATGGGTACAGTCTGATTTTTCTCATGTTGTTCTTGGTTTCCTTTTCAGTTGTTACTGAGATTTCATTTTTGGTTGTTTCCTTTCTAGAGGAAAACTAACAGTATTTACAGTATTGTGTGAACAGTATCAACCTTCGCTGAAAAGAGATCCCATGTATAATGAGGTGAGTTACTCATAGTTGTAAACGGGATATAACCTACAGAATTAGTTAAATAATAGCTGATTGTCTCCTGTTTTGTGACTTGTAGATAGGAGTCAGTGATCTAGCTTGTGTGGTATGACTGCTGCCCATAATATTTCCACCTGTAAACGAAGTAGCTGACATCATTGTTCTTCATCTTGTGTCGTTTCAGTACCTAGATAGAATAGGACAGCTTTTCTTTGGTGTTCCGCCCAAGCAGACATCGTCCTACGGAGGATTACTAGGTAAGGTTTATGCTGACAATTTTTTATAAATACCACCAGTCTTTTCAGAGCAGAGGCTTGTCTAAAATGGCCGTGCTGGAAACCGATAATTTGTTCTAACAAATGTATTGGGTTTTCATAGCACAGTCCCTGCTGTAGAATACAAGATAAATTGGTTGCATGTGAAATTAATTTGGTGAAGCTAGTAGACTTTTCATCTTTGAGAAGGGGAGAAGCATGTGAATGACACTCATGGTTAATTTTTGACATTATGGTATAAGTGCCAAATGTAAAGAAAAATCTTATTTGTGTGAAAGCTTAATTTCTTCAGACTTTAGTGACAGATTTTCCTGAAGTCAGCTCTGGGACTTTGGTAGAGATCTAAGCAGGGCTGATGATATAAAATGAATGTTCCCAAAGCAGAAGTTCTGAAACTAATATTGCCCTTCTTCTACAAGAAATGGAATAGAGAAATTCATCTTTCATTTCCTGGCTCTTGAATAAAATGTGAGCAAATTGAACTGGGTTACTTTTGTAAAATTGGATGCTTTTCCTTGAGAACTAAGCTTTTGCTTGTAAACTGACTTGAAGCTTTACCTGCAAATGTCAATTCACTGATACCCAAAGTTTGATGAAAAAAACATGAACATCGTAGATCCCATATGTAAATAACAGCTTTTCAGCAATTCAGGCATCTATAAAGTGAATAAAACAGGGAGAACGCATAAATGCCTTTGAGTCTCAAACAAGTTCTTTATAGCATGATGCAGACCATTGCTGCTTTTTGAGAGTTTCACTGTCTTTCCTCATTTGGTTGGGTTTTGTTTTTTTTCCCCTCTCAAGTGCAACTATAGTACATAAGTATGTGACTTTGGTGGGTTTTTTTTCCAGTGTACTCTTAGAGGAGGAACAGTATCAAAATACAGCTTCCCAAATCAAGAAATTCTTAATGGAAACTGGTGTGGGAATACTAATGTCTTGCTGAGACTCTTTTACTTCAAAATCCCCTTCTTTATTATTGAAATCTGCACCCTAGCAGGATGGAAGGAGAATAGTTAAAAGGTTTTGACATGAGAATGTAAAGCTAGCAATTTTGACTGTCCTGTATTTTATTCTAGGAAATCTTTTAAACAGTCTGATGGGAACAGGAGAAGATGATGACACAGAAGATGGTCAGGAAGATAGCAGTCCTATTGAGCTTGACTGAATGTTGTTGTCATTGGGTGCCGTCTAAATCTGATGATTCCATGAGTCCAAAGACAGTTTTGGAATTTGAATCCTGCAGTTGTTTCTTGGCACCTAAAAAGGGCTCCTCCCGTCTTTTAGAAATGGTTGCTGAAATGTTTATAATGTTTGGTCTATATTATTTATGTAAAAAAAGAAAGAAACCAACAAAAAGTAGCCAAATGAACCAATCAGAGCAATGGTTAGCAGGTTTCTGATACAGCGGCTGGTGACTTTGATCAAAATATAGTCTTCTACGGTTTCTGATGCAGTATTCCCTTTTGCACAGTAATTCAATAAAGCATAAATATGGGTCTTGTACTTCACGTCCTACCCAATATTGTCTTTGTTACGAGAAAGCTTCTTCTGAGGAAGATCTTGAAAGGCAGGGTGATCAATTGAATAATGTATTTGCGAGGCTGGTGACAGAAGTACTGTGAGACGAGCCAAGCAGCATAATTTGAGATGCACACCCAAGAGACATTGGTACCAGGAACTTGCTTCCACTGCCGTGAGTAACATGCACGCCATTCATACTGCCTTTCACTCTACTTAAGGTCTGGCTTTGGTTGAGCCCACGCGTGTGTTCAGCCAATACTTCCTTAAAAGCACAAGATTGACTTGGTGATGCGTAAGAGCCGATCAGTGGAACGTATGTAATTGGCTTCCATGTGGATCGCTCTTGCCTGGGTATAAAAATTTGGCATCTAAAATACCTCCTCTGGCTCATGGCTCTACTCCTTTGGAACAGATTCTTTTTTTTAGTGTAAGTTCACAACCATACGTAAAGGCAACAGCGTTAATGGTGAATGAAATGCTTTGCTGTGAGCAATGTATGTGTTTGAACTGCAGCTGTATGTAAAGAAAAGGGATACTGCAGAACTTTTGGTTCTTTGTGATATATTTATTTTTCTTGGGTGATTGATTCATTTAACACTTTCTGTAAAAAAAGAATAAATCAATGAATAATGGAGTAACTTCAGCCCCAGTGGTAGGCATAGCCATTCTACATCTCCTCCTCTTTAATGCAGCACAGTGGATGTCAGTGGTACAGTGAACAGATGAAAGAGTGGGGAAACGCTTTATTTTTTCACAATGAAAATAAAAAGGCTTAAATTAATAAACAGCAACCATGCATGGGGGAGGGAGGGATTAATACAAATTTATTGACTGTATGAAAAAGAAAAGGCATTGAAAGGAAGACTTTGTGTTAATTGTGAAGTCTCAAATAAACACTTTATACCAGGATGTGTGATATTGCTGTTTTCTAAAAGTTTTACGAGCAGAGCTCTTACTTCTTTGCTATTTTTTTTACCCTCTGCATTTGACTGTGAGTCAGCCAGACCTCAGTGCTGCAGCTTTACCTCTGTGCAGTAAAGGCATAGTTTTAGTCAGGTATTGCAATGTCGAGTAGCTGTCGATTGCTTTGATTTGCAGCAAGTTCAGGGAAGAACTCCCTACCCAGGGTAATGCTGTAGACATTTACTAAATGCTCTGGGATGGCTGCAGCGCTTAAGAGCCACATCATTTCATGCCTTTGGCTGCCAGTGAACGTGCCTGTCTTGGGGCAGCCTCCTGCAACCCCTGAACCTTGCGTGTGCCCAGCCCGAACCCCAGCACCCTGCGGCCCTGGAGCCTGTGAGTCTGCTGCTGGGCATGGGGCAGGGGCTGAGCCTGCAGCTGCCCACAGGGATGTGCTCATGTACAAAATACAGATTCAACAATTGCAACAGCATATACAGAATATGTGTGTGTATAATATATGTATATATATATGTATGTGTTGTATACACACATAGAAATAGCCTTTTTCGTATATAATGATTTATAATTATTGTATGGCATATGACTTATATTATTTATACACACACACAAACAATCTTTAGCTATAAACACAAACAACTAGCTCAGCCTGTCCTCTCCCTGCTTCTGACATGCCTGGGTTTTTAAGTAAGTGTGAGTGATAGTGTGTGTAAAATATATTAAAAGTATTTATAAATGTGTAAGTTAAATATCTATTATAGATATGCAGAGCTATGCGTATCCACCTATGCATGTGGATATATATATATATGTTTATATGCAATATAGTTCTCAAATTTATATATTATATACTTTATATAAAAAGCATGCACATGTGTATATTTATAATATATACTTTATAACTTTGCAATTATGTCTATACATATACAGACCTGTGTATGAAATATATTTAGCTTATATATTTGTAAAGTAAATGTCTAATGATAGCTATCTATACATACATGTGTTCATATGAACTATATTAGCTCATGTACCCACACTAAAGTGTATTATATATCATGCTAGATGTCCTATGCAGTTTAGAGTTGTGTCTGAATAGTCAACCACAACTCTAGCTTTCATAGCATTTATTACTCTATGCCTAAGAAATACACTTTTGTGTATGTGTGTGCATACATAGATAGGAGTATTAGCGGTAAAAATATAGACAATATACACTATAATACACACATATACACAAGTATAATATATACTATGTTACATAATATACATAAATACCTATGTGTGGTTTACATGAACTATAGTTACCTGCCAGACACAGACACGGGCATGCGTGCGCAGCTGCTTCGCCGTGCTGGGCAGCCCCAGGGCAGGGGCAGATGGTTTTGTGGGGGTCCTGTACCCCCTAGGGCTCTGCCAGCACTGTCACCTACTTGTTTTCATTTGCTGTTTTTAAACCCCACCTCACCCCTCCCCGACCCCACCCCAGCACCACACAGCCACAGCTCTGACATAATAATTTATTGGTTTGAATGACATTTAGTACCACAGTTGTCTTACCAGTGACAGAACAAATGCATACAGCTGATGAGATGCTCTCATTTACACACACCAACATAAGAAACGCGCCGGACAGGTCTGTGTCTGGGGCTGGTACTTCATTGGATGCCAGAAATTTCATTTTTTTTAGGTAGAAATCCAGCACATGGTGTGCAGGTCCCAGCCCGCCTGCCCTGATCGCAGAAATTACAGTGCTCAACACAGTGCTGAAACGTCACTTCAAGCAGCAGTTTTTTTTTTTCTTTTAGGGAGAGAAAAAAAAAAAAAAAACCAAACAAAAAATCAACAAAAATTAAGAGAATTATTGGGGGGGGTGGGGGAAGTGCAACCACCAGTTTGGAGAAGCAATGTGCCATCGGCTGGAGGGATGTGCCTGCTCAGGGTGGGCCAGGATGGGCTTTTATGGTGCCCGTCAGCAAAATGGCACCTAAAGCTCAACTCCCCAACCCACACGGGGCTCCTGAAATGGTGTGAACTCCCCCCAAACCATGAAAAAGGAACGACCCAGGGAGCAGAGCATGGGCCCCGACCCCAAAAGCTTTTCTTCCCTGGCATTATCTCATGGCTCAGTGTCCCCCTTGCAGGGCTGCAGGGCTGGGGCGGGGGGCAACGCTGCTCTGCCCACACCGAAAAAAACTTCGTTAAGCAGGCAACAAGGCCAACAATGCCAATTGCCTCCATTTCTAAATCCCGTTTGACCCGAGCCTGGGTACAGCATCACCACCGCTTGCCAGGGGAGGTCATTTACTTATCATTTACCCCAATGCCATCGGGAGGCTCAGCCATTTTGCACCTCACCATTTCGGGTGTATCCAGGTCGGTGCTTCACACCCCACTCGGATGTCACCGCTCAGGGGCGCGCAGCCCCCGTGGGAAGGGCTGGCAGAGAGCTGGGGCTGCGGGGATGCTCAGCGCCAGCCCCCAGGGACCAGCTTGGGGGGGAAAAGCCCCGTCTCCCCTCGAGATGTGCCACCAACAGTCTTTGCCATCCCGCTGGAGCCGGGTGGGACACCCCTTTCAGTGGGTGTGGGGTGATGGGGTTGCAGGACCCACCCATCCCCACAGCGCATCCCACGGAGTGGCCACAGAGCCGAATTTCGGGTTGGATCGGCATCTTCTCCAACGTTTCGCTGCCGCCCTTCTTGGTTTCCAACATGATCAAGTGAATGATGAGGGGGAAGGGAAGTATTATTATTATTATTACTGTTATTATCATTATTCATTATTTTTAACATTTCAAATAAAACCATGTTGTGTTGTAAACAGAAGCTCACTCCTCAGGTCTGCCTAGCCAGTCCCAGCTAAGGTTTATGTTTGAAATGGGCTTCCACTGAAAGAAAAAAAAAAACAGAGAAAATAAAGTTAAAAGCAGGACAAGCACTGGCAGGTGGCGACAGCCCAGCGCAAGCCCACCCTGTGGATGGTCCTCATTTTGCCGATGCTCCTTGGCTCCGATCATCCTTATAGCACCATGGACCTCACATCAGAGGTGTTGAAGAGGGAAGGATATCCTCCTGCTCCCAATGTCAGCCTCTCTCTGCTTGGACAGCCTTTGCAGCCTCCCTCGGGCAGGGAAGGGCTGCCCCATTCACACCACGCAGGAGGGAGCGATGCCGCTGCATCCCCAATCCCCCTCCATCCATCCTGTCCTCTAACTCATGGAAAATAAAGGGAAATAAAGCCCTCACCAGCAAACACACCTGCGTATTCCTGAGGCAGCATCGGCCGGCTTATAACTTTCTGAAAAGTCGTAATCCACTCCAGCTGGTCATCCTCTGTCTCGCAGGCAAAGAGGAATTTCCGATCTGGGGTGACGATGGTTATCCCGTGCTGCCAGTGGTTTCCCTGCGTGGACGGCGGGAGCCCTTCCAGGACCTTGTAGCTGTTTTCCTTGCTCCCAATAAACACTTCCCCTCTAGCAAAGGCATCCTAGGAGATAACGGAGCAGTCAGACAGGCGTGATTGCAAAGGCGAGCTCTGCATCCCGGGCAGCCAGGACACGGCTCACCCTGCACCATCCAAATGACGCATCAGCAAAATGCAGCAGCCAAACACTGAAAGCACCAGCCACCCCATGAAGCCCCGGTCCAGCTCCTCCCAGGGGCACCCACAATACAGGACCAACACCAGGGATCCAAAATCCAGATGCAGAAAAATCTGCAGCTGGTGCACAGGGTTTCCAAAGCATTTTTGGTAATTATCTATGCACAGGGCTACTGCACGCTGGACACCAGGCAGATCCCCCTAGCAGTGATGGTTCAGTGCCCTCTTGGTTCTCCCACCAGCCTGAGCTTCACTGCAGATTATTACTACTACTACTACTATTATTATTGCAGATAATTCCTAACAGACAGCCCAGGCACCTTCATCTTACCAGGGGATCTTTGAAATACATGAGCCGTCGGTCATCCATGGTGAACCATCGTTTCTTGAACCCCTCTGTTTGCTGAAGAGTCAAAAAATGCAGGATTACACACCGAAGCAGAGCAGCTCCTCTCCTATCGGGCATGACCCAGGAGCATTGAGGCAGTCGGAGGAGCCCAATGGGCTGGGGGAGTTGGGAACTGGTGGATTCTGGGCCACTGCAAGCCACCACAGCCAGGGTCCAGGTGGGCTGGCAGGAATGGGCACGTGAGCCACAGGTATGCCAGCCCTACCAGGTGGGCTGGCAGCAATGGGCAGTGAGAGGGGAGATGGGGTGGTTGGTTTGTGAAGTGTTTCTGGATTTTTTAATGTTTGCTCCCAGGTGAGGAAAGTGTATTAATGCATTCACAGTGTTAAGGCTTTGCCTCCCCAGCAAGGGTGGGTTTGTCCCACCAGTGGACCCTTCTCAGGCCCGTACAGAGCAGGACTCACATTTAGAAGGACTGCAGAAACGTTTTATATCCTACCTTTGGCCCCGTTTTCTCCATGTACCCTTCCTTCAGGTAGTTTCTAGAAAGCTTTGGCACCAGCTGGAGCAACCGAAGAGGACAGAAAAGAGAGCAACATCAGATGGAGGGAGCTGGGGGTCACCGGGCATACGGGGTAGGGCTGGTGGGTCATTGGAAGGGAAACCCACGCCAAGCTCACCCCTGGCCCCAAGCCCACCCGACGGCTCTGGGTAAACGCTTCGGTCCCACTCCTCCAAAGCGCTCAGAAGAGGTGGGTGCAGAAACATGAAGCATCTTTGAGCACTCCGCCAGCAGAGCCAGCAGCCTCCAGGAGAAGCCCCCAGGCCAAATCCCACTTCACCGGTCAGCTCTGGCAATGCATCCCCTCCACCAGACGCAGCAGGAGGTCCTCATGCAAGCCCTAAAGTATAATTTGCCCGTAAAACCCCATTAACACATGCTGCCTGTGCACTCCCCCTTCCTGCAGATATTGCTGACAATAGCTACCAGCGCCGGGGATATTTTTAACGCTGCTTAGTGAAGACAAAGCAGTAGCTGTGGGATCTTCGCAGATGCCTCTAAAAGCCTCTTGAAAGCTGATGAGTCTCACTAAAAACAGGGCTGACGAGCCTGGCCGTACAGGTCCCCACCCCTGCCTTTCATTTAAACAGGTTATTAATGACTCCGCTTGCCAAACCGCACTCCTGCAACACCTAACTCTGCCCAACAGCAGCTCTGGTCAAGCAGGCATGTGCTTGTAAGGCAAAGACACCCCAAAATACAACAGCCCAAAGAATTACACAGCTGTTCCACAGCAGCCAGGAGCATCTTCGTCTTGGATGCTTCACTGCGGGTAGCGAATAGCTCTGCAGCATTTGTAGCCCCAGTGTTTGGCTCCTGGGACAGGGCTGAGGACAATTTCCTAAGCAAGAAGCTCATCACCCTCAGCTCAGAGAGGTTCTTTCACCCTGCAGATGGGTGCCTGAAGCATCCTTTGGAGAGCCTTGCTTCCCAGGAGCTGCAGAGGCAGCCTGGGCATCCTTAGGGTGGTGTGAGCAATTTATACCCCTTCTACTGCATTTAACCTGGCTCCTGTTTAAATTTAATGCCTTTTCATGTCTCTGACAGGGTAAAGGAATCATAAATTAGATGCTAGTGAAGGCAATACCCAGGACAGAGCTATCTCGTGTACATAACCTAGTCTCCACAGAGGTCTTCCCAAGCTATGAAGGGTTGTTCAGTATTTCAAGGTCGTAACTTAAACCTCGCTAACATCACACTGCTCTGT